TATTGATCCCATAGTGTTTAAGCTTAATAGGGGCAGAAAATTTGGAAGAGGCACAAGCTTTGGCTATGGTTTTTGGTCGGGCCGCGTGTGGTTACTATAAAGTCTCACTTTGAGTTAATTTTGGCAAGGCTACAATGCAGCAATTTTTGTTTTGCAAGTGTAACATTAATTACTAAACATAATCTGATAAATTATCCTCTTCATTTTCAGACATTTTGAGAATAAAAAAGCTCCAAAGGTACCTGCGATACCTTAATGTTTATGTGATGGGATACATTTTGAGAGCAATTTAGACTATGTGATGAGCAGTTGAATCGATTGTAAGAAACTCCTAAGGTACCGGCGATACCTTAATGTTTATGTTTATGGAGGATGACTGCCCACTATGTGAAAGTCAATATATGGCTTACTGGCCACCCTTTCTCCCAAAATAGCTGATTATTACCTAGTCAATCTTACTCAAACTCCAAAAACCGCAAATCACCACGGTAATGTTCCCCCATACTACATGGTTGCGGTAAATGGCGAGTTTATAAAGCTACTGGCCGGACCCCAAACTATTGACCTATGCCGCCGCTTGGCATGACCGGTTGCTCTAAATCCAAGGGGAGAGGTTGCACTTGCGTGCCTCCAGTCAAAATTGTTTCTGGATCCGCCACTGTCGCTAAGAATGTTGTATATGGGTGAATGAATCTTTCATATAAATATATGTATTTATTTTGTGTGTGTGTTTTCTTGCTTCCTCTATCAAACCTTTGCTTACTATGTTTTGAGCGTTGTTGTCCTTGTTATTAATGAATAATAGTATTTACAAGTACTAATAACTACGACACAACATGACAATCATCATCCAAACATTCAATAAATCCAACAAAGTGTTTCATTTTACCCTATCCAAATGGATTAGTATATCTTAATCCAAACATAATCAACTCAACTTAGGAAAAAAATATGGGACATGGACACAAAGGCAACATGCTTTGGTTTTATTCTTCTCTTGCTATGCTTCAAATCGACACATGATCTTGTGCAACAGTTTCATTTTCATCGTCTGTTTCAGTCGACTCCTTTGCTTTATCATCATTCTCGAGGTCTTTCTTGTCGTAGAAATCTCTTTGGACAGTAACAGCCTTCTGTTGTTGAGAAGACATGATGCCGGCAATGGCTTTCAATGCAGCAGCTGCTTGATTGTTATCGGTAATGGCTTCCGGGTCTATACCGGGCACTGTGGTTTCTACTTCCGCTTCGACCTTTGCTTCTGAAGGCTTGACGTCGTCTAGCTTAGGAGGTGCGACAAAGAAAGGTATGCGACCTCTTTGCCAGTCATGGAGTATCATCTTCGCTCCCGTCATCAAATCAGGCTCCCCTCCCTAAAACAGAGAAACCATTAAGCTCTCTCTTAACTTAGAGAACAAAAATTTGCAGCCGATAAAGTCGAAAAGAGTATTGAAATTTGAAAACACACAACACCTTTAACAGTTTGCCAGATGCTTTGCATAGCTGAAGAAGAAAGTCATGATCATCCTCCCTGTAAATAACAAATCATTTTGGATTTATAACTTTGTCGCTAAAAGTAAGCATGAAGAAATGAAGATACGAAAAGTGGAAATTCTTTTACCAGTCCTTTATTTTATATGCTCTCTGCAAGTGCTCTTTCTTGACACGCTTCAGGACTTCTCCAATGTGCTCAGATGCATCCTCCAAGTTTGTAACTCTTACCTGTACATCGAAAAATATATGAATCCGTAAAGATATATTGCACTATTTGCTTATAACAAAATAGAGTGGGACGTCAAAAGGAGTACTCAATCCATGTAAGATAAGACTGACTAGTAATGCAGGAAACATACCACTCCCTTGAGGAAGATATCTGTCTCAGTATCACGGCTCTGGTATACAACTCCAGGACAATCGATCAAGAAAATCCTCTTGGTGAGTGTGATGTATTGCCAAACCTTGGTCTCCCCTGGAATTGGAGCAACCTTGCAAACCTAGAGGAGAGAAAGACGAGAGCAAAGTAAATTGGGAAGTCAGGGTTCAGCTATGTAGATTCGTAATACAACAAGTTAACAAAGAAAGTTATATACATTTTTAGTACGCAATGTGTTGATAACTGATGATTTCCCAACATTTGGATACCCGACAAATCCCACAGATACGGCTTGCTTGTCACTTTTCAGACGAGCAAACTGCCTCAAAACTGATACAAACCAACCATCATAAGGGTAAAGATATATCAAGAGTAAAACATAGGCTGATAATAAGAAGTCAAAATAATAGAAAAAAAAAATTTATAGACAAGAGGCGATCAAGGGCATGTCTAATCGATTAAAATACCTTTCCGAATGACTTGGTAACACTTGCGTGAAATGCAAGAGTTGGATATTCCTTTGATAGTACTCTCAACCATCCTTTCGTAGCCCAAGCTGGTACAAGATCACACTTTGAAATCAAACACGAAAGACGTACAGATACTCAGTAAGAAAACCAACTCAGATTCCAAAAACTAAAAAACAACTAACCAACCTTGTTCAACAACAAAATCATGTGTTTATGCTTGTGATGCTCTTTCAAAGTTTTCTCTAAATGATGACACCTAGTATCTTGTGGATCCCTAGCATCTAAAACCTATCACACAAAGCCAAAAAAAAAAAAATTAGAATAGAGCTACAAGATATCACCTTCATTAACTCATTTCTTGAATCGAGACATACCTGGACAACTACATCGGAGGAGTCTGTGACTTTGTAAAGCTCACCCCAAATACGTTTACTCTGTCCCTTTTCAAACATATTATGCCTCACAAGGTCTCTAAGCCCATCTTCTTCTTCTCCTTCACCAGAAGGACCTACACCCTCCTCGTACGCATCTTCAAAAAATTATACAAATATGTTTCAACAAATACATCATTTTCATATACAAGAAAACTCAAAAAGCCAAATTCCTCCACACAAAGGATTATAAAATCAATTTATTACCCTGAGATTCAGCTGCTTTCTTCACCAAGGCTTCGTAATCAGATGCCACAAGCTTCGGTCTCTTCCTTTTTGTTTTCCTTCCAAAAGCATCTTGAAATGACTCCATATCAAGTAAATGAACTCTCGCTTGCTATACAAGAATCACCATAA